TTATTATTCCCCATGTCAGCTCCTTATTTGCTTTCTTTGTAGAACTTACTGCAATTAGTATTTATTTATTCATTTATTTTTGTATAGTTGCTTTTGTCTGTTGGTGCCATTGGAACATCACTTCCCTGAGGGCCAGAACCATTTCTGTTTGCTGCTGTCAGATCCCCAGGATCTATCTAGTTCAGTGTCTAACACAGAGGAGTGCCCCGTAAATATTTCTTGAGTGAATGAAGGTTTAAAAAAATGTTGCATTTTGAAGAGCAGCTCTAAGCTTTTCCCTTGTAGAGGTCATAAACTACAGTAAACAGCACTCACAAATTGTCAAAACTCTTCAGCAGTGACTTTCATATCACAAGGTCCAATGCAGCAAATGTCTGGGTGCTAAATGATTTGGAAAACAGAACAAAGATTGGGGATTGATCTGTAGGCAGCACTTTCCAGCCTGCTGCCATGCCCATCTGTGGCGCTCTTGGACTGGGGCTTTGTTTGTTTGGGGGCATGTGGGAGAGTTATGATGTCTCCCATTGTTCACACAGTTCTATTAATACTGTTAGGCTGTTTACTTGGCCTGTGCTGACTGCCAGGCTGCTCTCCTACCTCAGCCCCTCGCTTGTTTCTTCAAAGGTTTTAGTTTGAACAAAAAGTACTTCCTTTGTTCATATGCCAACTGAGGATTTGAAGCATTTAGAATTTTTTATACACAAGCCACCAGGAAATACTGTCCAAACTGAATGAAGCTGAAGGGACCTGTAGGAGTTGACAAGCTGACGTTGAGTTGAGCAGAAGCTGGGAAGAAGCCTTTCAGGGACTGTGAATGGAATTATGAGTGCCTTCTGTCTAGGTGGGTACCATTCTGTGAGCATCTGAGTCTTAGAACTCCCTGATTTGGTACATCTGTACAACATAAGCAGGTTTGAAGAAGCCATGGTTCCTTCTTTTTATTTTTATTTTCATTTTTTTTTGATCATTAATCTTTTTGCTAGTTTTTATTGTACTTATAAGATCTGTATTTCTTGTGACCCAAGAAACATCAATATTCTATTTAAAATCTGTTGTTAAAAACATACAATATTGCACTTTAATTTCTGGCAGTTTAAGGAACGGCTGAGTAAAAAAATCATACAAGAAACTACAGTTTTTATTTTGCTTCACAATAAGCAAAGAGCTTTGTATAAAAGCAGAACTTACAGTAGTGCCAAATAAACCAAATATTTACAGTGTTGCTATTAAAGTCTTACCTCTAAAGGAAGATTCAGTGTATTGAATGCAAATATTACTAGTCTAACAAAAGTACACTCTCCCGTCCCCGCTTCTGTGGAACAATTTTAAGCTAAAGGGAATTCTATAATTTCTTTCTCCAGAGAAAATTACATGAAAGAACGCTTGTTCTTGAGGCATCAACACTGTGTCACTGAACTCTTTCACAGTTTCCTACAAGACTTGAAAAGTCTCTAAGAATCAGAACCCCAAGGTAAGCATAAGTTTTAGTTTTCTGTAGATACTCCTTTTTTACAAATACACAAATTGGTTTTAAGTATGATTTTAAAGGTCTATTTCCTGTACTTTTTCTAAGATAAATAAGATACTATGTATCTGCCTAAATTATGTTAACTTTTGTTACACTGTAGTAAAATTGTATAGATTTATACTGACCCATAATTTGCTATTCTTTTGACTCCCAATTAGGTAAACAGACAGTGCAATATTCTTGTCACTTATCAACCAATTAGGAAGAACAACTATTTGCAAAAGCAAATACCAAGATTTAGACCTACTTAACAATATATTAAATATTCAAAAGACCAAAAAAGAACATAAATAGAATGTATTGGTAATATAAATACATGAAACAGAGACATTCATTTTTGGCACCACCTAAAAAAAAATCCAGCAGTTACTTTATTTTCCTTCAGATCTTTGGGAATACTTAAATTTTCTAACTATTAAACTTTCACTTTTCCTCCAGAGGAAAAATAATTCACAAATTTGAACTGGTATTTCAGAAACATAGAATTTCCTCTTGTTACTTCTTATTTTGATCTGTAGAGTGAACAGTTATCCAAAGCATCAGCTAGCAGCCAATGAATTAACTATGCTTTTATATTTTAATCCTACCAAGGAATGATTAGTCAAACAGTGATTCATTATGGGAAGATATGGTTTTTTCTTAAACAACCATGTACCAATTGCATAGTTGTGATTAGAGAACAAAGGTCAAAGTAGAGAGCTACAAAGGCATTAATATACGTTAACTGAACTGAAACAGACTGCTGAAAAACAGCCGATCTTGGGTAGATGTTAGTGTAAACTTAGAGGGGAAAAGAACAGTCATTAGCAAAAGGTTTTTTTTTTTTAAAATAGGTTAGTGCTAAGAACAACAGCTTTTAAAATTTGTTTAAAAATAAGCTTAATAAACAAGAATACAAATTTTAATCCAAAACTTAGCTCTTTGAAATGCCCTATTTTCTTGCATACAGCAGAAAATACATTTTTCATAGTTTTAAACATTACATGTAAAAATGAGGCACTAGTTAAACATATTTGAATATATTCACACAAACAGGAGTTTCTGTCTCATCTGTAGGCTTATATTTGCCTTCTTTTTAAAAAAAATTAACTTATTTCTTTTAATTGGAGGCTAATTACTTTACAATACTGTAGTGGTTTTTGCCTTACATTGACATGAATCAGCCATGGGTGTACATGTGTCCTCCATCCTAAACCTCCCTCCCACTTCCCTCCCCACATGGTTCCTTCTTGAAGCCTTTGCCATTTCTGTGAATCTGGGAAGCAGGCATTGGCCTTAAGGTCCTACATGGGAAATGCCAGTATTGTGTTGACCTCTACATGCACTATCTCTTTTATTCCAGCCTCCCTGGAGATAGGAACTATGCTGTTCTTTTTGTAAGATGAATAAGTATATGAAGAAGCCCACTCAAGATCCCTCAGCTAGTTACTGGCAGGGTTGGGATTTGAACCTTCTGATTCTGAAGCTCCTTTTTTTTAAAAAAATTATTTTTATTTCTTCTTGTTAATAATAACACTTCTTTAAAAATTTAAAATTTTATTGTAGTAAGAGCACTTTACATGAGATTTAACTCTTAACAAATGTTTAAGTATACAGTACAGTCCTGTTGACTATAGGTACAGTTGTTAATACAGCAGATATCTAGAATTTGCACATCTTGCTTGACTAAAACTGTATGCCTGTTGATTAGTAACTTCCCATTTTCCACTCTCCCCTGGCAACCATCATTCCACTCTGGTTTTATGAATTTGACTATTTTAGATACATCATACCTGTGGAATTATGCAGTATTTGTCTTTCTATAACTGGTTTATTGAGAGAGTAGGCATCCTTGCCTTGTTTCTGATATTCAAGGAAAAGATTTTAGTTTTCCACTTTTAGAATGATGTTAGCTGTGGGTTTTTCATATATGGGCTTTATTTTGTTGAGGTGCTTGCTTTCCATTACTAATTTGTTGACAGTTTTTTTTTTTTTTGATCATGAATGAGTATTGAATTTTGTCAAATGCTTTTTCTGTATCTATTGAGATGATCATGTGATTTTATCCTTTATTTAATGTGGTGTATCAATTAGTTGATTTTTGTATGTTGAACCATTCTTGTATCCCAGTGATAAATCCCACTTGGTCATGATGTATGATCCTTTTACTGTGTCAGTCTCCATATTCGCTCCAGGCCTTTTCAGACTTTCTATTTTTTTTCATAGTAGTCTTGGTAGGTTGTAAGTTTCTAGGTATTTATAGTTCTTCTAGTTTTATTCTATTGTGATCAGAAAAGATACTTAGTATGACTTTAATCTTAAATTTGTTAAGACTTATTTTATGACCTAATATATGGCCTATCCTGGAGAAAGTTCTGTGTACACTTGAGAAGAATATGTATTCTGCTGCTGTTGGATAGAATGTTCTGTATGTCTTTTAGATCCACTTCATCTATGATGTGTCCAAGTTCTCTGTTTCCTTATTGATCTTTCATATGGATATTCTATCCATTATTTAAAGTGAAGTACTGAAGTTCATTACTATTATTGTATTGCTATTTCACCCTTCAGTTCTGTCAAGTTTTGCTGCATATATTTAAGTGCTCTGATGTTGGGTACATGTAATTATTATATCTTCCCAGTGTATTGATCCTTTTATCATTACATAATGTCCTTCTAAGTCTCATATGACAGTTTTTGACTTAAAGTCTGTTTCATCAATAGTAATTTTTATTTTTTTTCCATTTATTTTTATTAGTTGGAGGCTAATTACTTTAAAATATTGTAGTGGTTTTTGCCATACATTGACATGAATCAGCCATGGGTTTACATGTATTCCCCATCCCGATCCTCCCCCCCACCTCCCTCCCCACCCGATCCCTCTGGGCCTTCCCAGTGCACCAGCCCCGAGCACTTGTCTCATGCATCCAACCTGGGCTGGTGATCTGCTTCACCCTAGATAATATACATGTTTCAATGCTGTTCTCTCAAAACATCCCACCCTTGCCTTCTCCCACAGAGTCCCAAAGTCTGTTCTGTACATCTGTGTCTTTTTCTGTTTTGCATATAGGGTTATCATTACCATCTTTCTAAATTCCATATATATGCATTAATATACTATATTGGTCTTTATCTTTCTGGCTTACTTCACTCTGTATAATGGGCTCCAGTTTCATCCATCTCATTAGAACTGATTCAAATGAATTCTTTTTAATGGCTGAGTAATATTCCACGGTGTATATGTACCACAGCTTTCTTATCCATTCATCTGCTGATGGGCATCTAGGTTGCTTCCATGTCCTGGCTATTATAAACAGTGCTGCGGGGCAGGTGAGGCGGCCCGCCTGGCCGGCGAGGTGGGCGGGTCGTCTGCCTCGGCGGGCAGGCAGGGCGGACCGATCGGCGGCGGGCATGGGTTGGAAGTGGAGCCTCTCCCCGGACCTGCAGACAGCCAGCATCATGCAGTTGCTAACTGCTCTTCTCTCACCCGTTGATGCCTCCCAGGAAAAAGGGCCGCCAAGCTGCCCAAAAACCCCAGCTGCTATTCCACCAACAACCACTGGAGGGCCCCAAACACCACTGTCTATCTCCCCAGTTTCCCGTGGTCACCCACACTAGACAGGTGCCCAGCAAGCCTGTGGACCACAACACCATCACTTCCTGGGTATCACCTCAGTTTGATACAACAGCAGAAAGCTGGTTCCCAGGCAACCGGAAGCATCATCATCGAGACCAGAAAAGGTGTTCAAGTCGAAAATCTACCAGCTCCAGGTTTCCATGTCTAACGTTTGAGACTCCACAGTCTTCTGCCAATTCAGCCACACCTGGGATCCCGGCAATCAAGGATGGCCCCAGTCAACCAGAAAAGGACATTTCTGTAAGGCCCTTGGTGCCCATGCTCAGCCCCCAGAGCTGCAGGGAGCTGTCGGCACATGCACTTCCAGACTTCCCGTGTGCATTCATTCCCCGGGACATCCAGACCCCAGGATCCCCGGGGCAGGGAGAGCCCATTCCCTCTGAACTGAGGGAAAACAGCCTTCCCAGCTGTTCCCTTCACACGAGCATGCCCAAGAGCCCAGAGCCTGGGCCTATTCTGGTTAAAGACACCCCAGAGGAGAAGTACGGGATAAAAGTCACATGGAGGAGGCGACGACACCTGTTTGCGTATCTCAGGGAGAGGGGAAAGCTGAGCAGAAGCCAGTTCCTTGTGAAAGACTGACCGGTTTCCCAGACATCCGTGGTCTCAAGAAATTGATCGCTGGAGTCAAAAGGGAATTGAGTTCCCAGATTCACTTTTTAAAATATCTTGTGTCATAAACAGTTTTTAGTATCGTAAACAGTCCACTTTATATTTTTAGTGTATTAACTGTTTAACAAATTTTAAATATAACTGTTTAGAATGTCTGTAAATAAATGGCTGCAGAGTTTTTAGAGAACCCTGCTTCTGACCTACATTAACGCAGCAATACTGCTTCCTCCTTCCCCCATAAATGGTCATTCTTAATTGTTCCCTTTAACCACTATCTATTCATTCTTTTAATCACCTCATTCAAAGTAATTCAGTCCATGTGTTTGAGGACCAACTCAGTGACTGCTTCCTTTTTGACCCGGTACATGGAAAACTTGAAGCAGACTGTGGCTTTTCCTAGTTGGGCTGCTGGCTGGTGAAGAGAGAGCAGCAAGCCTGTTGTAATACATATGGTGAAGGGGGGTTGCCAGGGAGATAAAGGGGACATGATCAAGTTACTTAGAGTTGCTATGTTTTGATTTTTTTTGTTTCCAATTGAAATAACCTGTAAATATTAACTAGGGTGGGGAAATTATTTCTTGTCCTGTTTAAAATGTATGTAAATAAATCTGTAATCTTATCAAATACTACTTCTTACTGTAACTAATGCAGAGAGACTGTCCAGTCAAAAAAAAAAAAACAAAAAACAGTGCTGCGATGAACATTGGGGTGCACATGTCTCTTTCAGATCTGGTTTCCTTGGTGTGTATGCCCAGAAGTGGGATTGCTGGGTCATATGGCAGTTCTATTTCCAGTAATTTTTAATAATTAGGTTTCTTACTGCCTCCTTATGGGTCAGATATGGCGAACAACTCTGTAAAGAGATCAGAAAATGAAAAACAGGAGGTTCTAGTCTATAAGAAACATAAAGTCACTAGAATAATTGTCAGGAGATCATGTTTTTTTATGACCATCTCTGTGACATTGGAAATATGACCTGGACTTTCTGAGTCTTAGTTCTGAGGCCAGTAATATGTAGTAGTAATATCTATTCACTTCAAAGGGTCATTGAGAAGCTTGAGAGGGAAAATGGATCATTCATTCATTCCCCTATAACTATGGATTGAGTGCCAATCATGCATTCAGACTTAGGGCTAGACATCAATCTAATGGGGCACATAGAAGCCCCTGCCCCATCATGGATCTTACAGTTTAGAGAGGGAGACAAAATAAGCACTTATAATATAACATGAGAAATACTATAATGAAGGCATAGGGTAATATGGAAATGCCTAGCATGTATACCTATCTCCCAAAATATTCCAGAATTATTGAACTTCTCAGCATTATTCATGTTACAAGACTTAATATAGTCTGTGACATTGTATTGTCTAGTTTCACTAGATTTGTTGAAGCATGCTGTAGTTAACCCGAATTGACCTGGCAATCAGAAATTTATATCTCTGCCAAACAGATGGAATTGAAGGAAAGTTTTGAAGGCATTTTGAGCAAAGTATAGGAAGAATAATCCTAACCACAGATGTCATTCAAATTTTGCTGTGAAACAAGGTGTCTGGTTACTGGGTGTAAAGGTTCTAGCCCAGGTCTAGGTGTAGGGTAACCTAGTTTTGCTCCTGGTCTGAAGTGTTGTTTGGACAAGTCACTTGTCTCTGTCACAGTGTATGTCATGAGGGCAGGGATTCTTTTTAGTGTTCTTTTGTTCATGAGGCACCCCAAGAACCTAGAGAGAGGCTAGCAAATGATAGTAAGTGTGGAGCAGCTAATAGTTGACTGACTGCTTGCTTGTTTTGGGGGGGGGGGGCTCTCATTTTTCTTTCCTGAACATAGGAATGGAACTAGAAGGGAATTGAACTGATTGATCTCTGAGCACTCTTTTGATTCTGTAGTTTGAATCACTAAAAATCATAAAATCCAGTTGCGAGAGCTTAGTCATGTGATAGTGGAAATAGTCTCAGTACTTGATAGCCTAGTAAGAACAACTGAATGTCTAATTGTGATACACATGGTTTTAAATTCTTCAGTTTTTGGCTCTAGCTTTTCAACAAAGTATACCTCTCCCACAAATGTTTTTATTTTTCATTTGTTTTTATGGCATTTTATGATGAACTGCCTGAATTTGTTATTTTTGGAATAATAATGGGAAAGGTGAGGAGATAATACATTTATTACTATTACTGCTATAGGAATTTACAACCCTAAAGATATAAGATAACATTTAAAAATAGTAGTTTTCAAGAAAAGTAAAAACAAATAGTTGAATATTTATATTTTTTCTCACAGTAGGTGGCTAACATTCATTAGCCTGGAGGATGATGGAGTAATTGTTCTTAGCAAGCTCAAACTTTGTTCAATAATATACTTTTAGAAAACCTTTGCTGATATCTGTAATGTTACTGCTACTGTATTATGGTATGCTTCTATTCATTCTTATAGTTGTGGTAACTGAGACTTAAATGATTTTCCTCAAAGAGAACCTTAGACTGTTGAGTTTGTAGCATCTAGGCAGTATTCAGTGACTATTAAGTATTATTATTGTTATTATTATAATCAAGAAAATAATATACCCAGTGGGCTTCCCAAGTGGCTCAGTGGTAAAGAATATGCCTGTCAATGCAGGAGATGCGGGTACAATCCCTCCATCCCTGGGTGGAAAATAACCCTTGGAGAAGGAAATGACAACCCACTCCAGTATTCTTGCTGGGAAATCCCATGGACAGAGGAGCCTGGTGGGCTGTAGTCCATGTGGGTCACAAAAGAGTCAGACACAACTTAGTGACTAAACAACGAATAGTAATCTTTTTGGTTCTAGTGCTTCTCAGAGTGAGTAGTCAGGTAGCTTTGTTCTGCCTCTTTAAGCTTTCTATTATGGAACATTTTGAATACATACATAAGAAGAAAGAATAACAAAATGGGCTGCCATGGACCCGCTACCCAGCAATGTTAATTATTTAGTTATTCATTCATGAGTAATCTTATTTGATCTAGTCCTCATATTCCACCTCCTCCCTTCAGGCTGCATATATCGTATAAAGTATTCAAGCTTCAGCATCAGTCCTCACAATGAATATTCAGGGTTGATTTCCTTTAGGATTGACTGGTTTGATCTCCTTGAACAGTAGTTCTTTAATATCATCGAATATATTCATTGTGTTCACATTTCCCTGATTTTCTTGCTCTGTTGTGTGTGTGTGTGTGTGTGTATTTACAATTTATTTGAATTAGGACCCAGTTCAGGTACATGCATTGCTTTTGGTTGATGTGTCTGGTGAGTCTCTTTTGAATTGTCTATTTCTCTTTTCAATTCTGTTATTTTTTCATTTGTGTATTTTGGGATTCTGTCATTCAGTTCAGTTCTGTTCAGTTGCTCAGTCATGTCCGACTCTCTGTGATCCCATGAACCGCAACACGCCAGGCCTCCCTGTCTATCACCAACTCCCGGAGTCCACCCAAACCCATTAGGTATACACATTTTTATAATTGTTATATATTCTTCATTAATTTATAAATTTTGTCTCTAGTAACAATTTTTGTCTTAAGGTCTATTTTGTCTCATATTATTATAGCCATTTCAGCTCTCTCTTTTTGTTTGGTATTTTTTTCCCAATACTTTTACTGTCAACCTAATTGTGTTTTTGAATCTTATAGACAGTATATAGTTGGATCATTAAAAAAAAGTCCATTTTGCCAAACTCTGTCTTTTAATTGGCGTGTTTAATTCATTAACATGTAATCACTAAGAAGGTGGAATTTATGCCTGTGACTTTGCGTTTCCTATACAACTTATATTTTCTGTTTTCCTGTTCCTCTATTACTGCCTTCTTTTGTGTTAAATATAGATATTTTCTAGAGAATGATTTTAATTTCCTGATGGGTAGTGGTTTCCTTAAACTTCTGGGACTGCTACATCTCCCAGGCTTTGCTGAGGCGCTCTGTGTTTGTGTTGGGGCAGATGTTCATTGCTGAACCAGCAGTTCACAACTGCCAGGCGTAGCTTTCCTGAGTGTACGGACTTCGCTTTTTGCTTGAATAGAGCCTCGGTGTTAGCCAGAGATGAGAAGTTAGGACGTTCTCAGGTCTTATAGCATGCTCACAGGTCTGTGTTTATGTATGGTCTTCTAGATCTGTAGAAATATTTTAAAGCTTTTCCAAGCCAGCTAGGGACTTTTCCTTCTTTATTTTGTCATTTTAAGCTTTTTGGTTAGCTTGTTTTACCTGCTGTCTGTGAACATGGAAATAAATAAGAGACTGAGAGTCATGGCTAGATTGAAGGAGTATGGATTAGGGGTAGTGTAGGTGGAACATGAGATGGTTCTTAAGTCATAATAAACCTAGTGTTCAAATCCAGGGGGAACATGAAAATATAAGCAGTTTGTGATTCACAGAAGTGCTGGGGAATGTTTTGGATTTCTCCACTGTGAGGTGAGAGAGGAGGTGAGAGGAGAAATACCTCCACTATGAAGTAACTGATACACAGTTACCTGCTGCTGTGTATCACGTTGCTCTAAAACTTAAAGCAGTGAACATGTATTATCTTGCATTTCTGTGACTTAGGAGTCCAGGCATAGGTTACCTGGATGCACAGCTTCAGGGTCTCACAGGGTTACAACCAAGGCGTCAGTCATTGTTTGGGTATCATCTGAAGGCTTAACTGAGGAAAGAAAGGCTTCCAAGCTCTTATATGATCGCTGGCAAAATTCCATTTCCTGGGGACTGCTGGACTGAGGACTGCGTTTCCTTACCGCTTGTTAGCTGAAGTTCTTCCTCATTTCCTTGCCACTTGAGCTTCAACATGGTGGCTCGCTTCATTCAGGCTAGCCTGAGAGAGAGGTTTGCTGACAAGACAGAAATGACCATCTTTTGTAACCTTATCATGGAAGTGACATCTAATCACAGAAGCAACATCCCATCATCTTTGCCATGTTCTTTGGATTAGAAGCAAGTCACTACACATGGCCCACCTTCAAAGAGAG